GGTCTTGTATAATTTTAAGTAAATGATTCAAATCTCTTTCCTGATTCTTCAACCTTGTCCCAAGCATTTAAGGCTGCTAAACTACCTAGGACCAATGTGTAATCATCTAATTCACACTGTCTTTGCCAGTCAGCATACTGGCCTTCACCTAGAAGCTAATCTTGGGAAATATTAATGGCTCAATCCCTATTTTATTGTTCTATGGCCCTAGCTTCCTCTTTCCACCATGTTCACCATTATAACTGAGGACCAGCTCCCAATATTTCCATAACTAAATTCTTCCAACCTTGGTGGATAATTCTATTCTGAGTTGCTCATGAATTTAACATGTGCTTCACACAGGGTGAGTGTATACTGCTTCCCTAAAGCTCCTTAAATTTACTATTTCTATAAGATTCCATTTAACTTGGGTGATGTAGGATGTCCTTCTGTATGCTGTGACTATGTATTTCTCTTATTGGTTGGTGAATAGTGCTGTTTCAGCCAATAGCCAGGCAGAATATCCCTAGGCAGGAAATCAAAGCAAAGATAGGAAGAGAGAAGGCAGAGTTGGGGAGATGCCAGGGCATCACTGGTAAGCCACAACCACTTGGTGATATATAGATTAATTGAAATGGGTTAATTTATAAGCAAGAGCTAGCTAGTAAGAGGCCTAGATCATTGACCAAACAATTGTAACTGATAAGTCTCAAAATGGTTATTTCATAAGTGGCTGCAGGGACCTGGTGGACAGAGAGAAACCAGTTCAGTGGGACCGGTGGGATGGAGGAAAATCTCCATCTACACTTGGGGGTGCCTTTCACCTGCTGGTTGTTCTTGTATAGCACTTAACTCTCTCCTTAAGAATTTCCCAGGTGTAGACGGAGACTGCTCATTTGTTTCCTGGCCACCCAGACCCAAATAATCACACAGAAACTATATTAGTTATAACACTGTTTGGCCAATGACTCAGGCATATTCCTTACTAGCTCTTACATCTTAAATTAACCCATTTCTATTAATCTATGCATCACTACGAGGCTGTGGTCTGCCTAGAGGTAAAGTTCTGTCGTCCTTCTCCTTTGGCAGCTACATGGCGTCTCTCTGACTCTGCTTACTTTCTCTAACTCTGTTCAGATTTCCTGCCTGGCTTTACTCTGCTAAGTCATTGGGCCAGACAACTTTATTCATCAACCAATAAAAGCAACATATATACATAAAGACATCCCACATCACCTAGGTGTCTCACCAAATCTGCTGACTTCTCAGTGGTGATCTCAGGGTCACTTCTGCAGTTCCTGAGAATGAGCCTGCCCTCTGGAGTTCCAGTGAGGAGTCCCCATGAGTGGCTTTGGCAACTGGAGCAGAGTCTCAAGAGAGTGGCAGCTGATGTGGGTGGTACCAGCTGGCATGGCTTCTTCATGTGTGTGGTCATGCCCAATGTTGGGTGCCAGATGTTGTTTTTCCGTTAGCTTAGCAGCTGCAGCTGAAATTTAACTGAGTATCATTCTATTTACCTCTAAGACTCAGGTGTCAGCAGACATTTGGATGAAAACCTGCTGGCTCAGAGAGGCCGAGAAGCAATCAGCTGACCTTCCTTTCTGACCAGAGACCCAGTCAGAGAGCATCTCTCCAGCTATGTCAAAACAAACAAACAACAACAACAACAACAACAAAACACCAAACCCTCAAAACCCCAAGTCCCTCCCTGCTCCTACCTGTACACCTCTCCATCCATCTTCCTGGCCCTGCCATACTCTCTACAGCTAATTCCTGTCAACTAGTTGCTGGTTCCACCTCCCAACCCAAGGTTGATTTTATTAGTACAGTCTTGGGTTTCACAGTGTGATCAAATATCCCAAAACACCCTGTGGCTTACAGAGCTCTGAACACTGCATATTTCCAGCAAAGCCCTTTCTAATTGAGAAGCCATTCGTTTAATGCCATGTGCTTTGTGATGGAGGACAGTGTTGCCATCCCTCTGGTTTCTTCAAATGTGCTTTGGCCGTATCCTCGACAAGTGATGACACAATTCTGCAAGGCTGACTACCTCTGTGCCTGAGTTCCAAGTAGATCCCAGGTCTAATGTCCCTGTTGAAAGCTTTTTCTGATTAACGTGATCCTTTGGTCTGAAACAATGATGAACAAATTGCTATTTTTCGTGCTTTGAATCAGAAATCCCTGCAGAGGCTAGCAGGTTAAAGACTGGTGGCCGCTCATGGGGCTTTATGGAAGTGACTAGATCATGAGGGCTCTGGCTTCATCAGCAGAGTCATGCACGGATGGATCATAATCACATGATGCTATTGAGAGGTGGGGGTGGGGAAGCTTCAGAGGTAGGAGGAAGTATGTCTCTCAAGAGCATCTTGCTTCTTCCCGTCTGTCCCTCTATGCTTTCTGGATGCCATGTGATGCACAGCCACTGTCACATGCTCCTGCCACTATGATATTTTGCTTTTTTTTTAAAAAAATATTTATTTATTTATTATGTACACAATATTCTGTCTGTGTGTATGTCTGCAGGCCAGAAGAGGGCACCAGACCCCATTACAGATGGTTGTGAGCCACCATGTGGTTGCTGGGAATTGAACTCAGGACCTTTGGAAGAGCAGGCAATGCTCTTAACCTCTGAGCCATCTCTCCAGCCCCCTATGATATTTTACTTTATCTTAGACTCCAGATCACCTTAGGCTGAAATCTGTGGAACCAGGAGCTCACAGAAACCTTCTCCCTTTTAAATTGCTTTCCTTGGGTATTTGTGGCAGTAAGAAACTGCCTGGAACTCTGACAATGTACAGTATGGATCAAAAGAGGAGCTTTCTTCCTTGGGCAATGGGATGAATGGCTTCTGCCTCTCTGGGAGACCCAGGAGAACTGGGAGTAGGGCTTAGACAGATGTGTCTGTCTTTCTCACCTGGTTATCCACATTCAGTGCTCAGGTTTCCCCTTCTTTTGTCCACACTGGGACTCTGATGGAAGCGTCTAAGAGACTGTGCATTCAGTACCCTTAGACGCTTGGCCATCCTAGCAATAAACTGATTTTTCAGGCAGCTTTTCTTTAAAAAAATGCAGAGCCGGGCGGTGGTGCCGCACGTCTTTAATCCCAGCACTCAGGAGGCAGAGGCAGGTGGATCTCTGTGAGTTTGAAGCCAGCCTGGTCTACAAGGACAGGCTCCAAAGCTACAGGGAAACCCTGTCTCAAAAAACCAAAAAAAAAAAAATGCAGAATAAGTTTCCTTCTCAGCTTCCGCAGAGGCTCTGCAGTGTCCACAGTGCCCCTTGAAGGACAGCTGGCTGGCTGACCCTTCTTTCTCAAGGCTCCCAATGACGTTAAGAAAAGCCAGTCTTCGGGCTAAGCATGGTGTCACACACTTTTAATCCCAGTACTCAGGAGGCAGAGGCAGGCAGATCTCTATGAGTTCAAGGCCAGCCTGATCTATGGATCTATGAAGTGAGTTCCAGGACAGCAGGGCTGTTACACAGAGAAACCCTGACTCAAAAAGAAAGAAAGAAAGAGCTGGATACGGTTGCACATGTCTGTAACCCGAGCCTTTGGGGCTGTGTGGAGATAGGCTAAGGCTATCCTAGCTAAAACAGTGAGTTCCTCCTAGTTCAGGGGCAAACCCTGACTTAAAAGAAAGATAAAAGATGATGGAGGATGCCTGATGCTCAGTTCTGGCCCAGTACCAGGTGTGGGATATTGTCCTTCGAATTGTGGGGGGTGGGGTCCCCACCTAGGACACTGCTCATGGTTACCCACCAGAGGTAGATGAGGAAACTCTCGCTGCAGCCTCCACACATAGGGTCATGGGACATGGAGAATTCAAGGAGGTACTGACCTCAATTTCCTGCCCACTGCCTAGTGTGCATAGCACTGTGCTGACTGGTATTTTGTCAGCTTGATACGAGCTATGGTCATCTCGGAAGAGGAAACCTTACGTGAGGGGTTCCCTCTATCAAATGGCCTGTAGGCAAGTCTGTGGGGGCATTTTCTTGATTAATGATTGATGTGGGTGGGTCCAGCACACTATGGGTTTTGACACCCGTGGGCAAGTGGTGTTGGGTGCTATATATAAGAAGGCAGGCTGAACAAACCATGGGAAGCAAACCAGTAAGCAGCACTCCTCCGCAGCTCCGCTTGAGTTTCTGCCCTGGCTCCCCTCAGTGGTGGACTATGACTGGGACACGAAAGCCAAGCCAAGCTTTCTTTCCCAAGAGGCTTTTGGTCATGGTGTCTCTCACAGAAACAGGAACCACACCAAAACAGTGTCAGAAGGGGCTGTGCAGGTGGCTGGTAGAGGAAGCTTTAACCTACCTGTGAACACTTACACACTGTGTGCGTTTCCACCCACCCGCCCCCTCCCCTGCCGGGGCTCTGCTTGAGGCCTGCGCACCTCAGTGTGGCTCTCACGTGGGTAATTTAGGACTAGCAGAGAAAGAGGAGTAGTGGAGGGGTAGGGTAAGTCAGGGGAGAAAGCTTAGCCATCGCAAGTATGCATCATCAAAGGGCTCTGACTGCTCCATCCTCCATCGTTTGAAAGCTGCAGGAGGCACCTGTGGGGATCTATGTGCTGCTGAGTGTGAGGTAGAGGTGTTGGGCACCCCTGCAGGCTGAATCCCTAAGCCGATGTTCACCCTGACACCCACCCAAAGTGCAGGCACATACCTTAAGCAAGCCCAGTTTTTCCTTTAGACCGTAAGGACGGTCCCTTCAAGTTTGCAGCATTGCTCCGAGAATCAGAGGTCCTGCCTGGACAAAGCCTGATCAGGGTGTCTGTTCAAAAACAAAAACAAAAAAACCAAAAAAAAACAACAAAACCTTTCATGTGGCTGGGCACGGTGACACAGGCCTTTAATCCCAGCACTTGGGAGACAGAGGCAGGTGGATCTCTGTGAGCTTGAGGCCAGCCTGGTCTACGGAGTGAGCTCCAGGGCAGCCAGGGATACACAGAAAAGCCCTGTTTCAAAACAAACAAACAAACAAACAAACAAACAAAAAAACAAAAACCCCAACTCCCAACTCTTTCTTTTCTTTTCTTTTTTTTAAAAAGCCCCTTCATATGAATTATAATGACTAATGTGTTATTACATCTGACTGCTAGCCAGTTAAAAAACCATTATCAACAATAATTAACAAGCAGAGTATGTTAGAAGTCAAATGGGAAGTACCCTGTGTGGTGAGGCCAAAGACACTGGTCTCTTTGTGTGGGTTGTGAATCAAGCGTCTGCCGTTTACACTGCTCCAAACAGCGAGAACTATCTATAGACCCTTTCAGTCCGCGTTAGAGCCGTGAACAGTTAACTGTGTGCTGCCGCCCTTGCCTGGTACTGGCCTCCCAGAGAATAGAATCCTTCCAGGTCTCTGTTCTCCAAGTGTTCACAGGATGGCAAACATGAGCAAACAGTAGCAATTCAGGCGAGCATTGCTAGGGCAGAGGGAAGCCCAGGGCATTAAAAGAGCAACAGGAGGAGAAAGTAGCTTCCTCTATGAGGAGGAGGCAGTCCCAGAAGTCCGGAGCAGTTCGTAACATTAACCAGGTCCAGGCAGGAGACCGGCCACAAGGTTGCTTGCCAGACCACTCCAATGTTGCTGAGTCCTGCTGTTTTCGAGGTGGCTGTCAGACACTTGGGTGGCACAGCTGAGGGAGGCCATCCGCAGCCATCGCCCGCGCTAACAGTGATCAGGAGGACTCCTTTTATTCAGAAATCAGACTGCTTGGACCCTTTCTCGCTGGTTAAGTTTTCCAGATAAACCTGGAATTAATGATATATTTTTCTCAATTATTTTTCATTGCTCTATTTTATATTTACATAAGAAAAAGGTATAAATAGTAAGTGAAACACTCCCGAACTCCTGAGAATTTCCCTACTTGCGTCTGTCTCTTTAAGTCCTTCGGATGGGCGGGGCCGGCTCGTAGAGCTTCACGGCTCGAAAGTCTTCCAGGGCCGCGTTTGCTTTAAGAGAGGGGGCGGTGCTCCGCCCGGAGGAGGCGGAGAAATTTCCTTCCCTTCCCCGGATCTCCGGCTTCCGGGAACCGGCTGGAAGGCCCTTAGTGCTGAGCATCCCAGGCCCCAACATTCCCTGGACAGCTGGACCCTCTCCCAGCGAGGTGAGGCTGTCGGGGCTTCTGGGCCAGTTGGGGAACCTCCTGCCCGCCCGGACCACTTATTGCTCAGCATCCCTCTCCCCAAGTCGGCCTGTATATCCCCCGGGACCCTAGCTTCAGGGTCGCCAGCCAACACTCAAACCTACTAATTGCCTGGCTCTACGCTAAGCACCCTATACACACTATACCTTACACTCATTATCTTACTGCATGGTCTAAACACCATCATGAACCCATTTTACAGGTGAGGAAGCTGAGGCCTCGAGGAGCGCACACACAGCAGAGAAGCAACAGAATCAGGACTCAAACCCAGGACTGTTTGACCTCAGCTTCTAAAACTGGCTGCCTTGGAGTGCCTTCCCCATCACTACTTCCAAATCCTAGTTTCCCCTTCCACTTGCTTCCATCCCCAGGCTTCACCTGATCCCTAAACAGTTACCCAGTGAGTGACCCTTGCAGCCAGTCAGTTTTTTGTTGATATGGGGCCTCGTGTAACCCTTACTGGCCTCACCAAGTAGTTTAGGATAACCTTAAACTTCCTGATTCACCTTCCTCCACCTCCTAAATGCTGGAATTACAGGCATACACCAGGTTTTGCAGGTTCTGGGTATTGAACCCAGGACTTCCAGCATGCTAGGCAAGCTCTCTCCAATAAGCTACAACTCCAGCCTTCAGTTCCTTTATAACAGTTTCAGTAATATCTGATGTTTAGACGTAATCCTTAAATAAGCTATCAGTCTCCCCTGGAAGTAGGCAAGGGAAGGCATTTGTGGTAGGGGAGATTGCTCAGTAGGTGAAGGCGATTGTCCCCAAGCATGGTCAGAGTCCCATTTGGAGACTCACGTGGTGAAAGGAGAGAACTGATTTCCACCACCACACACGATGAAAAAGTGTGCATACAGTTTTAATTTTTAAGACAGGAGCTCACTGTGTAGAGCAGGCGGGACTTGAGCTCATAGAACTCTGCCTGCCTCTGTCTCCGAGTGCTGGGGTAAAGGTTGGTGCCAGCCGCTGCAGCTGGCTGTAGAGGTTTCTTTTACTGTGATTTCTTTTTGTAGATTGTTCCCTTTTCCTAAGCTTATGTATTTCTTTGTTTTAGGCCCCTGGAAATTCTCTTCCTCATCCTTGGGAAGGAGCCTCTGGCTGAATGGCAGCCGCGGATGACTTACAGTTTGAAGGTATGGCAGTGGGTGCCCGCCTTTGTCCTACGGTCATGGCTTCCGCTGCCACGGCAGTGGATTTTATTATTGACACATACGTTAAAGGATTTTATTTCAAACATCGTGGTAAGAAGCTGTTGGCCACACCCAGGTTTTTCTAGTTTGACCGTCCCAGCTGCTCAGTTTTCTCACAGAATTCTTCTTATTGACAGCAGGCATCATGACCTGGACACAGTGGTTGCCTTGTGTTTTCTAAGCACATGCTGTACGGACGCTGTTGTAAATACTTTACGAGTGACAACTTATGTAATCCTTCTTATGTCGAGTTTATAAAGTAGTCACTCTTCTTGGGTTTTTAGTACGGAAACTGAGGCAAAGAAAAACCCAACCTGCCCAAGATTCATACAGTTAATAAACCAGACAGCCAGGACTTGAACCCAAGCGGGGTGACATCACAGACTCTCCATTGTCTGAGGAATACTTGATGTTTGGCAAACACTGTGACAACTATAATTCTCTACCTTGTATTTGACACCCGTAAGAGCACTTGCTGCTCTTTCAGAGGACCTGAGTTGGGTTCCCAGCACCGATCCACATCAAGTGGCACCCAACTGCCTATAAATCCAATTCCGGGGGATCTGATGCCCCCTTTTGTCCTCCAGAGACACCCCCACACAGGTGGCATACACTTACCCAAACACACACACAAACACAAATAAAAGTAATCAAGTATCCGACTGTCCCGGCTGTTCCACACCCCCTCTTCATCCCATCAGGTTCAAGGTACACAGTTGTCTCTGGCATTGTGTCTAAATTTCAGTCCTGCCTTCTCGGGCTCCTTGCTTCCCGTCTCACCAGGGCGGAAGCTTGGAAAACCAGACGCCACTCACTGCCTCTAATCTTTTCATTATCCTGTCTTAGCCCGTGTCCTTCTTCTCTTCCTCTGCCACACCGAGCTTGTGACCTAATAGAGTCCCGGCTGAGGGCCGTTGTGCTGTTTTCTGTTGGAAGTCATCTTCCAGAGAGTTCACTCCGCTCCTCCTTGCTTTCTTCAGATCTCACTTTGTTGGCCATGCTACCTAGAAATACAGTGCAAGGAAGTGCAGGTGTTGTGAATGGCGTTTGCAAAGCCTCTGGGGATGGAGGAAGGTTGTTTAAGTTTTTTCTCTCTTTAGAGGGCTAAAAGTTGGCCTGTGTTCCAGATCATAGACTGGACAGTGGAGCTTGTCAGCCTGAGGTGACTTGAGAGGAGGCCAGCAATGCTGAAGATGAAGCTATAAAAATGGATGCTAAGGACTCCGGCTTCAGGAAAGAGCGTGTGGTACTGAGGATAGCACGGAAGGCTGTTCTGAGGTGATAGAGTGGAGTTCAGGAGCCTTCGGGCAGGAGTCACTGTACTAGGAAAAGATGGAAGCCAAGGAACTTCTGATAGGCCAGAGTGTAGAGGCAGAAAGCATTACTGTCAGAAGTCTCACCATCCCAGCCTTGCTTAAGGGGTTGAGGTTGACGAAAGCACCGAGCTCAGAGGAGCGTCTGTGGGTTATTGTGGCAGGAACACACAGCTCACACTCCAGAGAGAATGTGTCGGTCATCGTGGCAGGAACACACAGCTCACACTCCAGAGAATGTGTGGGTCATCGTGGCAGGAACACACAGCTCACACTCCAGATGGTACTGTCGGCTGTCCTTCCAGAGGGCACACACTTCTTGTCTGCACCTGCTTTATAGACCAGGATGGTCTGGAGCTCATAGAGATCCACCTGCCTCTGCCTCCTGAGTGTCGGAATTAAAGGCATGCGCCACCACTGCCGGCCTGGTAGTAGCCTGCCTCTTAAACGTGCTGTATTGATTTTCTGCATGAAGTATTCACGGAGCAGTGGGCACTAAGAGCTAGCTGAACTAAGAGTCTCATCCCCCTGCTGGGCCCTAGGAGTTACAGAACCACTGGTGCTTCTTGGGTAAGCTAGGTGTGGTCGCACCTACCTGTAATCTCAGCACTCAGGAGGCAGAGGCAGGAGGATCTCAGGTTTGAGACCAGCCTGGCCTATGTAGTGAGATCTTGTCTCAAAGGAACATAAAGAAATTTTAGTACTGTCCTGAACCTCATTCAGTACAAAGTGTTGGGTTGTTCAGAAAGTCTCCATCACTGCTGGTGGAAGTTAATGAGGATGGTTCTTCTGGACAAAATTTAGCAGAATAGTTCAAGAGCCTAAAAAGCTTGCCTAGGGCTGGCAAAATGGCTCAGATGCTACGCAAGTATGAGAGCCCTGTGAAGAAAGTGGGCAGATGTGGTGGCTGCCTAGAATTCCAGCACTAGTGACTAGTGAGGCAGAGACAGGATTTGGTTTGAATAGGTTTGGCCCCTATGGACTCATGTTTGAATGCTTGACCTATAGGGAGTGGTGCTATTAGGAGATGTAGTCGTGTTGGAGTAGGTGTGGCCTTGTAGGAGGAGGTGTGTCACTGTGGAGGCAGGCTTTGAGGTTTCATATATGCTCAAGCTACCACCAGTGTTGCAGACTAGTTCATTTCCTGTTGCATGCGGATCAAGATGTAGAACTCTCAGCTCCTTCTCCAGCACTGTGTCTCCCTGCATGCTGCCATGTTTCCAGCTAGGATGATAGTGGACTGAACCTGTGAAACTGTAAGCCAGCCTCAGTTAAATGTTTTCCTTTATGAAAGTTGCTGTGGTCATGGTGTCTCTTCACAGCAATAGAGACCCTAAGATATCAAAATTGACACACTTTGGGTTTTGTAAGAGTGCCTGCCTTGCAAGACAGTGGTGGTGCATGCCTTTAATCTGAGCACTTGGGAGGCAGAGACAGGTGGATCTCTGTGGGTTCGAGGCCAACCTGGTCTACAGAGAGAGTTCCAGGCCTGGCTCCAAAGCTACACAGAGAAAAAAAAAGTGCCTGCCTTGATAAATAAAGTAGAGAAAGATGGAAGAAGATGCCTGATGTCAACTTTAGGCCCCCAAACATATACATACATGCACAGATGATTACACAGAGCCCCCCCACCAAATACACAAAGATGACTTAGTGGTTGTACTGTTTAGTGGCCATCTTAAGACTGTAGCCACCAAATTCTCATATTCTCTTAGTTTCCTTCTTTTCTTGTTCCTTTGTTTACAGGTTATCTTTCAGGTTAGCATGGAAAGTAATGGATTTCACCATGGCATCTTCATATGTATAAGTCATAGTGTTTTTTCCCCATAGTCTCCCCCCAAAAACTTTGCCTACACTGTTATTTCTTATAGACTTTAAAAACTATTATAATACAAAAAGTCATTGTTAGCCAGGTGGTGGCACATGCTTTTAACCCCAGCACTTGGAAGGCAGAGGCAGGTGGATATCTCTTGAGTTTGAGATCAGCCTGGTCTACAGAGTGAGCTTCAGGACAGCCAGAGCAACACAGAGAAGCCCTGTCTTGATAAAACAAAGACAAGAAGTCATTGTTTCTATATAATCACCTGTAGACAAAACATGTAATAGAGTTGTTTGTTAGATGTTAGCACACCGAAGAGCAGGACTTGGGACCCTGTTGACTGAGGTAGGTGTTCGCTGTGTGAGAGCGTGACTATCGCTGGCAAGAGTCTTGCTGTGCATAGAAGGGAAACTAACCAGGATCTTCTAGTGCTTGCCTTTGTGTGATAGACCAGAGTGATTTGTTTTTCAAGATAGTGTTTCTCTGTCCTGGCTCTCCTGAAACTCACTGTGTAGCTCTGCCTGGCCTTGAACTCACAGAGATCTGCCAGCCTCTGCTCCCACCAAGTACTGGTATTAAAGGTGTGCACCACTACCCAACTATAAGCTGAGTGATTTCTATTCTATTATTTCCACTTTGTTGTTGGTCCTCATGGTTTCTATGGTGATTATGTAGGATTTACTTGAATCAGAGATGTTCAGATGGATCAGGCACCCTACTAAAGACTTTAGATAGTACTCCCCATTCCCCTTCTTCACTGTGTTGTATGGTCAGGGGGATCTTGAATGCAACCCTCCAGCTTCAGCCTCCCTAGTGCTGAGCTTGTTTTCAAAGCCCCTTCTGCTTGTCATAGATAAGGTTCGTAGCAGAACTGAGACAATGAGGAAGCATGAGGGCCGGAAGCTGGGTCCTTAGGCATGCTGGACGTGTGTTCTACCACTGAGCTTCACCCCCAGCACCTGACTGCAAGTATGAAACGGTCTCCAGGCCTCTGTGCTTTGCTTGGTTTCAGAATTTGGCGATGGAGCCACTTTGCTAGCAACAAATCCAGACGCTACCACAATAAATATTGACGACCCCGATGAGCCTTCCAAACCCCACCCCCGACCCCGAGGAAGCTCGGGAAGAGAAGAAGACGAGGAGCTGCTGGGGAACAACGACTCTGATGAGACTGAGGTTTGATTTACCATTCGGTTTTGTTCCTGTTACCTTTCTCAGAGCTTAGGGTCCATGCGTTTACTCATTACTTTTGTGTGCCTTGTGACCCGAAAGTAGGTGACCCGTGACATCACTTTGTGGGGGAAACAGACAGGTAAACAGGCCGTCCCCTGTGGGAAGCACTTGTGTGTGGGGTGTGGGTCAGGGGAACAGAGGGGAGGTAAAGGAAGGCTTCCTGGGGTCAGAGGCGCCTGGCTAAGCCTACTGGAAGAGGGAAGATGGCAAGGTGGATGGATGCAAAGGGAAGGGTCTTAGTAAAGACCCAGAGTATGGAAGAGCATGGCGAGGGCCGGAACAGCCTCATCGTCTGCGTTGGAGCGAAGGGTCACAAAGGCTGGAGGTGAGGCTACAGACAGGCCAGGACCTAGTTTGTTCTCATACATTCTGAAAATCATCAGGAGCCAGTGAACTATTCAAACCATCTATCTAGATGAGTTTAAAGATAATTTAGAATCGGTTGTTTTAAATAGATGTTGGAGGAAGACAGACTAGAGTGCAGAAGACCTGAGAGAACCAAGCAAAATGGTCTTGACTACAGCGGTGGGTGAGGACCCGGGCAGGACTTGTGAAGTGGTGGAGGTGAAGGAGAGAGCAGAGGGCTGCAGAGAGACGTGGAGGTCTCTGTCCCTGTCTCTCTGGTGTTTCCATCGAGTGGGTCTTTGTGACCATGGGCACAGTTGGAGTGTGTGAGGGGTTAGTAATTCTTCAGTATTTTACCCGTTGAATTATGCCCACAACTCCTGAGAGGGACACTTGCTCAGTGTGTAGCGTTGGCTTCACCGTGTAGCCCTTGGACACCACCACCAGCCTTGTGGGTCCTTTTGTCACAAGTAGGATGGATACCAGACACTGACTAGCCCTGCAGTGATGGGAATGCGAATCTGTCAACGGAAAGACATCCAGGAGACTGTGGAGAACTGGGATTGGAGAAGTGAGCCATGGGCTGCCCCACCAGGGGAGTGGCCAGGAGCAAGGGCTTACATCTCATTTGGAGGGGAGATTTTAACTGTCGTGTATTCTCTGAGAAAGAACAGAAACTCCATGTAGATATGCAGAGTATATCTGTATACATGTAGATATGCAGCCGTGCTCGTGGCTCAACACGTAATTGTGTGTGCGTTACAGCTCCTGCTGACGGGGCTCTTAAAATGCTACTGTTTTACTACAGCCGTGTAATGAAGCTCGGGGAAGCCTGCATGGTTGTGTGTACCTGAAATACAAGGCGCTCTAGAGGTTGAGGCCGGACGATTGAGAGTTCAAGGCCAGCTTAGTGAGGGCTACAGAGTGAGCCTCTATCTCAAAGGAAGACAAAACTAGAAAAGTCTAGGAACAGTCCTGTCCTTGGTGAGAACGAGTGGTCACTGGTCTTGACCAGTTTGCCCATAGCTTCCTGTTCTTATTTTTCTTGGCTCGCGTGCAGGCTGCTTGCAGTTCCCTGTCTCACACTCTTCTTAGAGGTTTCCAGAGGCCAGGACAGAAGATGGGTTACTAACAAAATTATAGCCATGAGAGGGCCAGCCTAAGGGGGTAGGAACCAAGTTGGAAGAACAGGACAGTTTTCAACCAAGTGGCCTTTGGGTATGTGACATCGTACCTAAAGAGAACCGAGTAATCTAGAGAGAGGTGGCTCAGTGGTTCAGAGCAGTTGTTGCTCTGCTAGAGGACTAGCATTTAGTCCCCAGCACCCCATCAGGGGACCCTAAGCTACCTATAACTGCAACTCTAGGAGATCCAACACCCTCTCCTGGTCTCTGTGAGTACCTGCATGAATGTGGTGAACACACAGATACATACACATAAACAAGAATAAATTAAAAAAAAATGTAAAAAGTTAAAAAAAGAACCAAATATTTAGTCTTAGGGTAGAGCACAGAAAAGAATTCAGCTTGGCAGAAGGCTAAATGAAGATATTTATGCTTTTGTGTGACCTGTGAGCATCAATCATCAAATAACACAGCCTGAAAAAATAACTTCTGTTATGGACCCAAGCCCTGTCATCTGGACTCTATTCTGTAAACCTAAAGATCTTTGTAGTTACTAACTCTAGATAATTCAAATATAGGTCTGAAAGAGACAATACTTACACAGCTGAAAAAATATATATCAAAATAACATAATTGCAGCTGGGCATGGTGGTGCACGCCTTTCATCCCAGCACTCGGGAGGCAGAAACAGGCAGATCTCTGTGAGTTTGAGGCCAGCCTGGTCCTCAAAGTGAGTTCCAGAACATCCAGAGCTGTAACCCAGGGAAACTCTGTCTTAAAAAACCTAACCAAACCAAAACAAAATCACAGTGGCAGCTTGGTAAGAAGAACTCGAAGTCCATTTGTAGAAGAGCCAGTGGAAGTGGATCCAAGCTTTTCGGGGCTGTAGGTAAAGTCACAAGGAAGTGACTAGAGATTGTTGGGGTCCGTCAACTTTTCTCACTGAACACTGGACACTGGTGTTCTTTTTGAGCAGATCCTAAAATAAACAGCTGACATAACTCTCCCATTTTGTCTTATTTCTTTTCATTTTCCTTTTTTGAGACAGGGTTTATATAGTTCTGGTTGGCCTGGAACTCGGAGGTCCACCTACCTCTGCCTCCTGAATGCTGGGATTAAGTGTGGGCCACCATGGCCAGCAATCAGTCTCTATTAGATTTGATTTTTCTTCTCACTGATTTGAAATCTTACTACGTTTTCCATCTTCAACTGTGCTTTCCTGTGTTTAAGCCTGAGAAGGTGGCCCAAAATACCCCTTTTCCTCTAATGTTAAGGTTAGTTGAGGTCCCTTAGAGTTGTGTTAAGCCTGTGAGAAGCCCGTTGGCTCTGTTAACCTTTGTTATGTGTTGGCTCTTCTGCTGGGACATATCAGAGTCTCATGGCCATGTCTTTCCGTGGAAGCATGGGGGTATTCCCTTTTCAATGACCCTCCTCTTTGCTGAATGACTCTTCGTTAGAGACCAACCTCAGATAGCTACTGCCTCTCTGACCAAGAGGATTGGTAACTTGCTGGGGCTGCAGACCCCTTTAGAGGGAGCCCCACATCCTCTGGGTGTTGTCTGACTATAGGGGCCAAGCACTGAACATTGACTTTTCAAAAAAAATAAATAAACAAAACAAACAACCCCCCCTCAAAACCTTCTGTCTTTCTTGGCAGTGCTTCCAAGCTTTGGTTGTGGAGCACTGGGGTCAGTTCCTCCAGTCTTGAAGGGGAGTAGTGGACTCTAGTTTTACTTGCTATGTGGCCCTGATTAGTTTGAAACTCATTGTGCAGACCAGGTTAGCTTTGAATTTGCAGCAATCCTCCAGAGTGATGGTAGTAGATGCATGTGTCTTTGTCCCCTACTGGACAGAATTTTAATTTGGCTTGATTTTTTTCACTTTGGGGCCATCGTAACACAGAGCAGGGTCAGAAGTGGAGCCATAGTCCAGATAATTCAGGCCTCTGAGAGGAATCTTAAAGTGTTCACATTGTCACCTTTTAATTAATAGGCTTTCATTATTGTTATTACTATTATTATTATTTGGGGTTTTTTTGTGACAGGGTTTCTTTATGTAGCCCTGTCTGTCTTAGAACTTGCTCTGTAGACCAGGCTGACCTCAAACTCAGAGATGCACCTACCTCTGCTTTCCAACTGCTGGGATTAAGGCTCTCATTGTTTTTATAAAATCCATTTTTTTTTCCTCCGGAACTGCCAGGATGGCTCCATGGGTAAGGTGCCTCCAGCACAAACCAGGTAGCCTGAGTGTGATCTCTAACCCATGTAAACCAGGTAACTTGAGTGTGATCTCTCTCTAACCCATGTAAACCAGGTAGCCTGAGTGTGATCTCTAACCCA